GATCGTAACTTCTTTGATCTGAGCTATCCAATTTTAAGCAAAATCTGAAGCATTAATTTCGAAAGATCTCTTAAACAGACGCTTTAGATCAACACCTATGTTCCACGCATGGGCCCAACGCGTTCACCATGGGTTACAAAGATATCATCATTATTGCATGTTTAATGTAACTGTCGTATGCGTATAGAAAATCATAATGCCTCCATTGCTTTTTCTTGGTAATGGGCAAAAACATCAAATCGTTGGCACCATTTTCGAGGGCAATCATTACAAAAAACCAGATTCAGTAGTTTAACTCTTACTGCTTCAACTTTACAACTAAGCAAGCCCCAGCATTTTTAGCTGTACATGCCTCGACTCAAAATAAACTTAAGCTATATCATAAATAAGAGAGCCTCGGGAGTTCATCCCTTATCTTCTCACAGCTCCAAAAATTAATTTAAGTAATAATACAGTTAAACCAACCTTGACATTTTATTAATCACCCATCTCAATTCAAGACCAAGTCCATAAACGTCAATGACAGGCTTACTTTTGAAGTTCACGCATGATATAAATAAACCATGCATAGACTTGGGGACTATTGTTATACCTCACCATATGTAGCACCGAGACCAGGGCCCTCTTATCCACGTGGTAAAAATGATCGACGCTCATTGGCGAAGCAGTTGACCCAGTTACAGCATTGGAACTACCTCAACGATGCCCCATTCATGAGCAAGGAGGCCATAAAGTGTAGTTAAGGCCCATCCTTTCTGCCAAGCTGAAGTTATGAGTTCTAAAACACATAGCGTCGAAAAAGTCCGAGGCCCCTCTACCTGGTGTCGACCTACACAAGAGAGATTCTGAATTTATATACAAAATCCTTTAGGAATGATTGATGGGACGCTAATTATGAGTATGAATGTCAAGTATTGTCAGCAGAAGTGACAGATCTGTGTAACCATTGAGTGTACCGTAGGCTAGCAGGTAAAAATTGATGCCTATGATTAGAAATTTAAATTAAAGATATAAGGCCACGCGTACTTCCATTCAAAGGTTATCATTTCATTTGTAACACTATAAATACCCTCTAATGTAACATAGAGGAGAGTAATGCAACTCTTGATTCCACAAACTACTCTTTGTCTTCTCTCTCAACGATTGTACATTTACTCAACTAAAAATAGCATTAACTAGTTTTGATTCTGTTTACGATTGGTGATCATAATATAATCGCTTCATGAATCCATCATTAATACCCGAACACATTGGTCTTGTTGCGACGTTAATATTCTCCCACATCTGCATTTTCAGAGTATTGTCTGCTAGCAACTCGTTTACATGTGTTGGAATTAGCTAGCGTGTTCTCGAGTGGGTTTGGCATGTGTTTTCCATAGAAATCGACGTCAACATTAATGATAAATTAGAAGAAGATTTTTAATTTATCTTATTTTAATTAAATCAAAATAATAATTCACGTCTTCCAACATCATGGTCAGAAATCTAATTAGTCAAACACAAAAGACAAAAAACTAGAAGAATGATATTAAGATTTTAGTTAATTTACAAGTGTCAGACTTTTGTATAATTAATTGTCCAGATTACTTATTAATGTGCTTAAGTTAATTAATGTACATGTTTAATTAATTAGATTAATTAACTAATGGACTGAGTTTTTTTGTAGTTGGTTGGTCAAACTTATTTAAACATAAATTATTAAACTATTGGATTTTTCATAACTCACATTACAATATTCATATGATTGGTAGCACAAAAGTGAGAAACACTACATTCTTGTTCTTTCATATGGATTATCATTAGAGGCTGGATAATTAAACAAATATGATGTGGAAATATCGTGGTAGATCAAAATTCACAAGGAAGGAAGATCGTGATCAAGATTTTCAAAGGAGTTCAAAAAATCTGCTTAATGTAAAATTTTAATCAAGATTTTTATGTAAGCACAAACAGGATCTTCGAAGGAAGCTGAAAAGCATTTTAAATTTCGATGTGCATTTATAAGTAAATTCAAAACATTCTCTTCACTAGTATATAATAGGCTAATTTTTAAGCTGTATGTACCCCAATAAATTAATGACGTGAATATGTAACAAACTTTCCTAACGCAATACAATTGTAGTCGTTTACTACTTTAGTTGCTCTTCGTGAAATACATATGACATTTAGTGATTTGATATATATGCATCAAATCACTGAACGCCACATAGAGCAATTATGGTAGCAAGGGACTACAAATAGCATTCACTGTAAGAAATTTATACTTTTCCTACAAAATTTCTACTTACAAATTGAGATTTGTAGGTGGAGTTCACTTCCCCCTCCCCCCAAAATGATATTTCATAGGGCTACCATTTACTTCAAAATTTACAATAATGGGAAGACTTGTGCCCACAAAAATTTGTATTTTTCTTAACAAAAAATTTGACGAGCAAGATATTTTTTTTGCCAAAAAAAAAAAAAAATTTGGTATATTGGTAGGCTAATAATAAACTGAAAAAATTTCAATTTTTATTTATATTTTAATAGGAGAATATTGACATGTTTGTAGGTTGAGATGATTATTGGTTAAAACCTGACTCAACCCATTTCAATTTATTTGACTAAAAAAATAAAATTGAAACCTCTAATCTCATTATTTCTCCCACTACAGTACTCATCAGTTCATGACATTACTCTCCTTTAGCTTGTGATGTCATTCATCTCATTTCTCGTTCAATTGCCAACTCTCCAGCTATAACGTCCCTGAGATTGGATTAGGTGTGGACCTTGTGATTTTTCTGGCTATTTCTATAATACTCTAGTCTCTAGTTCTTTTACCCTTTCCTTTACCTTAGAATCTATCTCTGTCAATTTAAAACTTGTACCATTAAGTATAGTTCTGCAATTGTGCAATTTAGAACTATTTTGCCAGGTCTCATTGTAACCAGCAGTTCATAGAGTTATGGCATTAGGAATTCCCTATGCCATTGAAATTTGTTAGGATTTATGTTGTAATGGCAATTCTGCAGACAAAATCAAGTCATAGTTAAATTGAATTAGGAGTTTATGAAGTTGTGACCAAAGTCAAAATAGGATTTATTGAGTCCTAATTAATGTCAAAAGTGTTGGAATTGATAGTATAGTCCTTGAAGGAGTCCAAGATGTCCAAGATGATCACATATGTCAAGGAAATGAAATTAAAAGCCTAAAGAGTGTCAAAGAGCCCCACAAGTTATGTTCCAAATTCTCATTTGTAACTTGCAATGCATTTTTAACTTAGAAAACATTGGACCTTGGGCAAGGTTACGTAAAAGAATTGTAATTTTTTGAGTTAGTTTTTCAACGTATTTTGAATTAAATTAATCAGACATCGGAAGATAAAGTTATGTTGAAAATACTGACAACTATTCAGCTGCCACTCACATGTCACTATCATAGAGCTCGAGCGATGGTGTTATGTGTAAAATCCATCCCATGCTACCTAAATACCTTCTATTATGTATACCTAAGCCCTAATACGTTTTGGAGTGGCTAATCATTATATTTCTCCTTCATAACATCATTCAAAGATTCAAGAACGTAATCAAGCCTTAGATTAATTCTTTGATTCTTGAGTTCTTACAACCACAACTTTGCAAAAAATATCAAGTTTACATAATCCAAAATGCTCACTTCCTATACACATACAAGAATGTACTTTCTCTATAGCTTTAGAGGATGCTAAATATTGTGATGGGTTGGACCGGATGAACAAAAAGAGTACAAGATCAATGTGTTCTTGGTGATCCATGAAAGATAGAAACAATTCCTAAAGATCAGGAATAGATGTGAGTGAAGCGTGTTACAACGGGTTTTGAAGATTGCAGAAATCAAATTAGCGAATCTAGTGGGTTTTTTGGGCTGGATCATACTGTAAGTTCATATTGTCAAAAATGGAGGCTACTAGTTTGGTCTCAGAGTTTTTACCCAGTTGAATTTTCTCCATCAACATATTTTGTATTATTTATTGCTTTCATTTAATTGATTGTGGCGTTCAAAGCAATAGGATAAATTGATTTGATTGACTAAACATCTAGAACAATTAAAAAGTGATTTGTTACTTTTAATTGGTTATTTTAATTCAGTGGTATTCACTTATTCACCCCCTCTAGGTGATTTTATGGTCGAACTAGTAACTTTCAAGTGGTATTATAGCTTAATTACAATCCTTGACCCAATTTTGTCTAGATGAGTTAATTACATTCTGATCATAGATCTTAGGAAGATGTGGATATTCATAAGGCTTATGGCCAACTGTATAAGGAGAGTCTCAAGTTACATAAGGTTAATAGATTGGTATTTAAGAAATTGAATAAACTCAAATTAGAAAAAAGAGAACCTTATAGTCAAACTTGAAGAGTCTACCATAGGATTGAATGAATTAAGGATTGAGAATGAATCCTTAGAAATTAAGGTTAAATCTCTTATATTCGATCTTGAAAAATCGAATGCCAGACTTAAATCCTTCTCTGTTGGATCTAAAATGATTGATAACATGATAAGTTTGAATAAAATAGTCATGGACAGAGGAGACCTAAGCGACAATGAAATGAATTCTCATACATCATTCTCTTTGAAAAATCAGTTTGTGGTACCTCGAAGCTTAAGGTTCAAAACTTGAAAGCTAGAATTTCTCCTAAGTTCTTCCCCATGTGTCATCATTGTGGTAAGATTTGTCACATAAGACCTAAGTGTTGTGAACTCTTGAATAGGAACAAGACCAAAAATTTAGGTGCCCGAGGATCAAAATCACCTGTATAATATAGGTTTTCTTCACCCAGGGTTCAAAATTTGAAATCTATAATTGTTATCGAATCCATGCCCAAATATCATAATTATGGTGCGTTAGGATATATAACGCCTAGGTGTCATAAATTTTGAACAAAAATAGAAATAAAAACTTCAATATAAATAAAAATAAGGATTTTGATAGCCGAATTGACTTCCTTACTAATCACGTGAGTCAATTGACCGAGTTAATGATACAGTTGACTAAGATTAATTTTTCTACTAGGCAATTCTGGGTGAAGAAAAGTGATCTGAAAATTTTTGATTTAAATCACGGTGCTCTTAAAGATAAGAGCGTTTGTGTATCTAACCAATTAGGTATTTCTGGTGCATGCTTGTACTTCATTGTGATTCATTCATTATTACATGCATCTTATTTTTGTATTTGTTTCATAGCTTGTAGGTTTATGTATGTGAATTTTCATCAGGTTTGCATCATATGTATATATATATTTTATTGTTTTGTATGTTGAATTTTTTAGTTTGCGAGATTGGTGCATTCATCTTTTGAAAAAAAATAAAAAATGGATTGAGAAATTTTTTAACTACAACATTATATATGATGAATTTGAAAGTGCATGCTGTGACCAAGTATGAGTTTAATTGATGTGCTGTAGCATATTTTTCATTACTTTGTTTAGATTTTTATGGAGTACTTAGTATAGGTTTCTTCATGTACTACCTCCACTGCACACACACACTACGATATTATAAGTGGGACTTGACCACGTGTGTGAGATTTGGAAGGGCAGTCACATGTTGGTAAGGTGACTTTAAACATGAATTGACCTTATTTTAATAGACTTAAACTCAAGTATATTCCTTGAAAGAAAAAAGATCATCTTATGCTCTTCTTCGGAGCCTATTTGACTCAAGAAATTAAGCCTGATGAATTTCTCATAACTTGGTACCTATGGTCAACTAACTTGGGTTAATCGACCTAAAACTCATATAGAGATCATCTTAGTCGCTTAATGGAGAAAGCATGCCCATAAGATGTGAAAAATTGATGAGAAGATAATGAGATTAAAAGTTTAGAAAATGTTTGTGTGTGTGAGTCTATATATATTGGGGGAGAAAACAATAATATACTTGCAAAATGAGCTTCAATTATAGGTCCTATTTACTTTTATTGGTTTGATTTTCGTAAGTTGAGAAATAAATTTATTGACAGTGATGTTTAACATGTTCCTTCTCACAAAATTAAGATTTGGAATGCTACTTACAAAAATCAATGACATTTTACACATATGGATCACTTATACAATTTAGTCCATTTTAACTTGAGATCATTAATTATTCTTGTGCATGCTATCAACTGCAACTTTGAGTTATTAAATATTGATGTTCATGTGTATTTGATATATTTTCCTTAGTCATTTGTGACAAAAAGGGGGAGGGAGAACTGATTGCAATTATGAGTTGAAAGTTAGCTACATTTTAGGGAAGAGTTTGCAGTAAGTGGGAGAGATGATTGTATCTTTCATTTATGGCATTCAATATCATAATACATATCTTCTTTGAGTTTGATGTTTGGTAATATTAACGTTTCAGTTGGTGCTTTGATTAACATTAATATTACTTCTCAATCAAGCTAGCGTATTTGTGGTCGTAAGTTTCAATTGTTATATTTTTTCATATCATGCACTTTTACTCTTGGTACATGAGTTTATGATTTCAAGAAATAGGTTAACAAGGAATGCAAGAAATGGACATTGAGTTTGGGGTTGGGTAGATTAGTTTTTGTTTTTACTTCCTTGACTTGTATTTTTTACTTCCTTGACTTGTATTATATAGTTTTGTAATAGAATGCCCAAGGGAGAGATTGTTATGATTTGTGTTGTATTGGCAATTCTGCAAGTAAAATCAAATTCTAGTTAATTTGTATTAGGAGTTGATGGAGTTGTGACCAAAGTCAAAATAGGAGTCATTGACTCATATTTAAAGTTAAGAGAGTTGAAATTTGGTAGTATAGTTCTTGAAGGAGTCCAAGAAGATTACATGTGATCAAGAGAATGCAATTAGATGTCTAAAAAATGTCAAAAAGCTGTACAAGTTACGTTTCGAATTCTCAGTTTTAACTTGTAATGTATTTTTCACTTAGAAAACATTGAAATTTGGATAAGACTACTTAGAAGAATTGTAGTTATTTGAGTTAGCTTTTTAACACATTTTGAGTCACCTTAATTGTACATTGGAAGAGAAAATTAGAATGAAAATATTGACGACTGTTTAGCTGTCACTCACCTGCCGCTAACCTAGAGCTTGAGCAACGATGCTACGTATAAAATCCTAATTCACGTTTTTCAAGAGTTTTATCCAGCCCATATTACCTAAATACTTTCTACTATACATTTTTTCTACTATACATGCCCAACCCTAACATATTTTGTTGTGGCTGTTCATTATATTTTCTTCATAATATCATTTAAAGAATCAAGAACACAATCAAAACTTAGATTAATCCTTTGATTCTTGAGTTCATACTACCACAACTTTGAGATAAACATCAAGTTCACATAATCCAAAACACTCACTTCCTCTACACGTACGAAAGGTATTTTCTTAGAATAATGCTATTCGAACAGATTCCTTTGCATAGATTATGAACAGGTAATAAAAAATTAATAATGGACACATCAATGAACAGTAGAAATTGTTTGAAAAACGGGACAAATTTGGTAGACCACTGGTACAACCTTTCCTCCCCCAAATTGGAAGTCAATATTTTCCCTCCTCATTTTCCCTCATTCCCCTCTCTCCCGGGCCTTCATTCCCGCCGGCCAGTTCTTCGAATCTGGTAGCACCTCCGAACAGCATGTCTTCGCCGACACCGTCGAACCCAGGTGACCCACTGTTAAATGTCATCTTTAAAATTTTCCAATTCGATATATTTAATTTGTTGTTTGCAAAGCATGGAAAATGTCATTGCTTAAAAAAAATTTGAATGACAGTGGAGATGGATATATTTAACAAAAGCTGCAACATTAAAATAAACGAAAAATTTGTAATGGGGATGATAAACCATGAACTGCCCTGCAAGCGTAAAATGGCATTTCGTCCAATGTTAAAGAAAAGGAAAACTCTGTAATGGGGATGAAAAACATGTCCTGCATTGGTTATTGTTATTACAATAATGCTGTTCAAACAATTTGGATTTCATGGTTTTTACTTTAGTTCTTTAGGTTGTGAAACTCCAAAGGTAACGAGAAGCTTGTAACCTGGAAGTTAAAATCATGGTTTTTACTTTAGTTCTTTTTAGCTTATTCAGTCTGTTGATAGCAGTGAGAACCTTAGATCTTTGAAATTTTACCAATAAACTATATTTATTTTACAATTTACTTAGAATGTTCAATCTTTATGCATAATAATGACGATACAATTTTTGCTTCATTTCTGGACGCAGGAAATAATATGGAAGGTGGCATTGATGATTTTTTGTTGGAAACTGAGGATGAGATCGTTGCGGAGAACAGGAACATAGTGGAAGATGAAATGTTAGGAGATGATGGTATCGTCGTACCTAAGATCGGAATGATATTTAGCAGTGAGAATGAAATGTTTGAATTGTACAAAGAATATGCATACAACGTAGGTTTTCCCGTAAAAAAAAAGGAATTCAAAAAAAGGGGCCGGTGGAGTTTTGAGATTTGTGACATATACTTGTGGCCGTGAAGGTCGAAGGCCAAGTACTGCTACCGGATCTGTAAGGCCGCAACCAACAATTCAAACCAATTGTAAGGCCCGGATAAGCGCATCTTCAGATGATCATGGATCTTGGAGAATTAATGCAGTCCACCTCGACCACAATCATGGAACAAGCCCATCGAAATCCAGGTTGTTTCGATGCAATAGAGAACTGAGTGCACAGGTTAAGCGGAGGCTTGAAGTGAACGATGTGGCGGGGATTCCGTTGCACAAAAGTTATAATTCCGCAGTTGTTGAGGCGGGCGGATATGAAAATATGCTTGTGTGGAAAATGATTGTCGGAACTACATCGAACAAGTGAGACGGTTGAGACTCGGAGAAGGAGATGCCGCCGCAATACAAGCATATTTTTCAAATATGCAAGCACATTGCTCGGGGTTTTATTTTAGTATTGATTTGGATGATGAATCGCGGTTGAGGAACATATTTTGGGCAGATAATAGGTGTAGGCAGGCATACAAGGAATTCGGCGATGTGGTCACGTTTGATACAACGTATCTCACAAATAAGTATGATATGCCTTTTGCTTCTTTCGTTGGCGTCAATCACCATGGACAATCAACACTGCTTGGTTGTGGTTTGCTTTCAAACGAGGATACAAATAGTTTTGTGTGGCTATTCAGGTCATGGCTTCAGTGCATGCACAGTGTAGCTCCCCATGGAATAATCACTGATCAGGATAGAGCCATGCAAAATGCAATTCAAATTGTTTTTCCAAATACAAACCATAGGTGGTGTTTATGGCACATTTTGAAAAAGTTGCCAGAGAAGTTTGGGTACTATATTGATAAGGGTTCTATATTTTCTCATATACATGGATTGGTGTATGATTCCCAGTTCGTTGAAGAGTTTGAAGAAGGTTGGATCGCAATGATTAATAAGTTTGAATTGCATGAAAATGATTGGTTATCTAGACTATACGAGAACATAAAGCGTTGGGTTCCTTGCTTTCTGAAAACCACTTTTTGGGCAGAGATGTCAACAATGCAAAGAAGTGAGTATGAATGCGTTCTTTGATGGATATGTACACTCGAAGACTTCATTGAAACAGTTTGTAGAACAATATGAGCGAGCACTAAGGAATAAGGTTGAAAAGGAATTTCAAGCTGATTTCAAATCATATTCACAAATGCTACCATGCGTAAGTATGTTTGAAATGGAGAAACAATTTCAATCTGTTTACACCATCTCAAAATTCAAGGAGGTTCAGGAGGAGTTTATAGGGAAGATGTATTGTGACCTCATATCTACTTCAGAAAATAGTTTTGGGACAATGTACGAGGTCTGTGAAGTTGTGGCATGCGGCGAGCGAATGAAGAAAAAAATATTTTTTGTGTCATTTCAAAAGGAGAATTGTCAATTCATTTGCGGCTGTCACTTGTTCGAGTTTAGGGGTATAATTTTTAGGCATGCGATATCGGTGTTGATCCGTAATTGCATCACATCAATACCGGAGAGGTACATACTGAGACGATGGAGAAGAGATGTTAGTAGAGCACACGCGAGGGTGGCTGTGAACTACGCTGGGTTGGTTAGTACACCTAGTCAGTTGAGATATGACAATATGTGTCAGTCTTTTGCTGGGTTGGCAGATCTTGCTGCTGATGATGACGGGCAAACTCGCGCCATAATGGACTGGATAGAATCGCAGTGTACGGTTCTTACGTTGACACGGACGAGTACAAGCACAAATGTCCTCGCACACCATACGGTACAATTAGGCCCCCAGTGTAATGTATCGCAGAATACCTCGAGCGGGAGCGTACGAGACCCTCTCGTATCAAGAAGAAAGGGTGCACCAAAGAAACTTCGAAGTAAAAGCCCGTTGGAGTCGAGTTCGAAGAAAGTAAAGGTAATTTAAAATATTATAATTCATATTCTGCCAGATTGTTACAATAATTCCTCATACGCTCGCTTTGATATGCAGGCAACATCGACATCGTGCAAAGGAAAGAGACCAAATTCGAGTCAGAGTGCTACTCCAGTTGGTACACAAGAACTTCAGGCGTCCCAACATTAGCATGAAAAATTCGGAAAGAAAATCTTTTGCCTCTTAAGTTTTATCAATTGAGGAAAAATTTTATACATGTCCATAGTGGACTATTTGGTTTTGGCCAAGTAGAATAATATGCAGAACCAAAACTTGCTATTTCGTGCCTGTAGAAATAAGAATTGGTTTGATAAGAAACTTGCGTGATTTTAAGTGAACAAATTTCAAGACCTGTGTTTTGCTTACATTTTGTATAGCTGTACATTTGTGTTGAACGTGTTAGTTAATGATCTGAGCAATAGATGCATGGACTGTCCCGCACATTTTGAAAATGCCTAAATAGAAAGAGGTAGAAACTGAAAGATCAAAACTTCTCAGGATTATATGCATTGCAACCTGCAAGCTGAAAATTTACACCAAACTATCTATAAACATTTCAAAACTTCTCAATGATTTGCCGCCCCGACTAGTGTTTGCCGCTGCGCAACGGGGATCGACCTGCAAGTATGTTACCGCTTCAAATTGTGCATGTGGTCGAATTTACTCAATTGGGATCTTTATAATTATTTACAAATTAACTTTTTCACTACAATTTGATAAAAACTTTTTGATTCATTTTGATGCACATTTTCAGTACAACATCACATGAATATATTCTCATATCCATCCAAACCATTTGCAAGGACTTCAGTGTGTGTCACGGAAACAATGTCTCCGTGACACACACACACGGAGAAACTCTCTCCTATGTCATGGAGAGAGTTTCTCCGTGACACACTGCCCCTCTCTCCGTAACACACTGTCCCTGAGCAGTGTGTCACGGAGAGAGTTTCTACGTGTGTGTGTGTGTCACGAAGACATTGTTTTCGTGACACACAATGAAGTCCTTGCAAATGGTTTGGATGGATATGAGAATATATTCATGTGATGTTGTATTGAAAATGTGCATCAAAATGAATCAAAAAGTTTTTATCAAATTGTAGTGAAAAAGTTAATTTGTAAATAATTATAAAGATCCCAATTGAGTAAATTCGACCACATGCACAATTTGAAGCGGTAACATACTTCAATTGCATTACTTGATGTCTACTCGTTGAATGTGTTCGTTTGGTACAATATTCAAATGTCGTTCGATATTTCTCATGGTAATGAATGGACCGCGTACACAGTGCCACTTCAAAACATTTTGTATATTTATGTCGAATTTGAGTGTCACCCCAAAATCAACACGATATTTGTACTCTCTAGATATTGAAATTTACTAATGACATTACAAAATATAAAAATTACAAATGTACTCTCTAGATAGAGAAATGTTTTGGGTTTGACGTGTTTAAGGGTTTCTTTCACTTTGAATTCCCTAGAAAACTAAAACCAGCTCAACCATGAGAGTTGTAATTCCTGCTTTTCGTGGAATTAGGGGTCACGTGAGGAAAAGTAAGAAAACCAAATGCCTGGAAAAAGTTGCCTATCAAACAGGCAGAAAGTTGGAAAATGGTGGGGAATTTTCCATTTTCCATGGAAAATATGGCGTATCAAATAGAACCTAAGTGAAACAAATAGTTAAAAAATACGTCATTAAGAACAACTACGTCATTAACATCACTAAATAACATGAAGTTTGAACAAGAAATGCAAGCATACATAACATCAACGTTTATTAAAAAATGGGGCTACTAATGCAGCCGGCCACTTTCATTTGTCATTCTTCTCCACGGTTGCTTTGCCCTTGCGAATTGTCATGTTCATGTTCATCGAAATCTGAACCTCTTCTTCGTCGGGGAGATGAATTTGATATTGAAACATGCGCGACAAATCTGACACTGATTTTTCTGATGCTGGATTCGCCTTGCTATCGACAGCACTTGATTCACCACTTGATTCTCCTTCTCCAACCCACTCCCAAAAACCGCATTTCTGACTACAGCATTTGAATAGTTTTTCTTTGTTATCGGTCTCTCTCTCCACCTCGAAGCACTTCTGGAATCCACTCTTGCAAACGGGGCAACGACGCTTACTTCGGCATTCATCAAAGAAGTGTCCCTTCGATCTGCAACTATGACAAATTCCAAAATTCTTTCCTCCCATTCTACAACCACAATCAACCACCCAAATTATTGACCATTAGTGTTTTGCATGAACGTAATGAGTGGAGAGGACTGACCATTGTTATAAACTCAATTTAATGCTATTGAAAAAGTTGAAATTCCATTTAAAAATGCATCACCAGTGGTTTTTATAGTCATTTGCTCATTGCACTATACTATTGAAAATGCCAGCAAGAATTTTATCAGAGTATGAGCTATTTCTGATCTTCAGATATTTTCTTATATTTAAGCAATTTACAGAAATAGTTATAACGCTTCTTGATCGTCACTATTTTAACTGCAAAATAATTGACAAAGCAATCAAGCGCGATTCATCCAGTAAACGAATCTATAAGCACCAAAATTTAAACTTAACTTCAGTAACTAATATCAAAACAGACAATCAAAAACTTTATAAAAAAAAATTACAAAATTCATAAAAAGCAAAGCGGTGTAAATAAATTACCTGAGAAACAAATGGAATGAGAAAATACTTCTCTCGGCACCTCTGAAAGCCTTAATATAGAGTTTTTGTTTTTCACAATTTTTTTCCCTTCAAAGAGAGGCTTTCTAGAGAAAGATGGGGATGTAAAGCTTCGAATGCTTGCCAACCTCCACCGTTTTCTTTGAGTTTAGGGACAATGAGCTAAGACCTACACGGGAGGTTCGTCGGTGTCGAAGTTCCGACCTCACCGACTGGAAGTAGAGAAAATGCTTGCCAACCTCCACCGTTTTCTTTGAGTTTAGGGACAATGAGCTAAGACCTACACGGGAGGTTCGTCGGTGTCGAAGTTCCGACCTCACCGACTGGAAGTAGAGAAAATGCTTGCCAACCTCCACCGTTTTCTTTGATTTTAGGGACAATGAGCTAAGACCTACACGGGAGGTTCATCGGTGTCGAACTTTGAAGTCCCGACCTCATCGACTGATGCACAGAAATGAGCCAATTTCAATTTGGGTTGGGGATAATGAGCCAATTTCAATTTGGGGATAACGTGTTTCTTCCATTTATAATCAGATTGGGTTTTTTTTCCTTATTTCCCTTCCAGCCACGTGTCCTCATTGTTTATTAATTTTTTATTACCTGTTCAACATCTGTGCAAAGGAATCTGTTCGAATAGCATTATTGATTTTCTTAATAGCTTTCAGATGTTACTGAAGATTTAGGAAGATTGGAGCAAAAGCACAGGAAGAATACAAGAACAAAGTTTTTTGGTGATCCACAGGAAATAAACAATTCAAGTGATGGCAACGGGGCAGGTTCGGGGCGGGACGTCCCTACCTCTCCCCGCGCCCAGCCCCGTTTATTTATTTAATTTTTTTTTACATTTTCAAAGTTTCGAATTATGTTATTATTAGAGAATAAAATACAAATTCAAAATGAGTTTTTAGTGCATGAATTGTCTAGAAATAAAATTGTTTTAATTGTTTTTATTTTTTCTTCACCAGACGGGTTCGGGGCAAGTTTTTTTTGTCATCCCTAAGAATTCCATAAAATCGTGAACAAGTGTGAATGAAACATGTTCTAATGGATCTTGGAGATTGCAAGAATTACATCAGCGAGTCTAGTGGGTTTTTTAGGCTAGATCATACTGTAAGTTCATATTGTTTATAGTGGAGGTTATTGACTTGATCCTGAAGTTTTTTCCCAATTAGGTTTTCTCTATTAATATATTTTGTGTTGTTTATTGCTTTCATATTATTAATTGTGGCATTCAAACCATAAATAAGGCCCCGTTTGATTGCACGAAATTTTTCATGGAACTTGAAATTCGAATTCCAACTTCCACTTTTGGCCTGTTTGATTAACAAAATTTTCCAGAAAATTGATTTTCCATAAATTTTTAGGTACAACACCTAAAAGCGTGATTTTCCACCTTTTATTTTCCTAAGGGGTAGGTGGTTTTCGGTTTTCCACCTTTTTTTTTTTTTTGCTTTTTGTCTTTTTTTTAATTGTTGGTAATGGGATCAAATTCTAGGAATAATTGTAAAAGAAGATATTCCTGAAATTGACAATTTTTATGTAAAATAAAGTCAAACGAACACCAAAATATAGATATTTTTTATCTTTTTTTTTTTCCTTTTTTTTTTTGGGGGGGTTGGCGATGGAAACAAATTCTAGGAACAATGGTAGAAGTGGATATCCCTTAAATTGACAATTTTCATGTAAAATAAAATCAAACGAACACCAAAAAACATTTTTACTTCAATATTTTCCACGTGGAAAATTATATCAATCAAACACAATAATTTACAATTCTCAGGAAAACAATTTCTAGGTAATTCAATTCCCTGGAATTTATTTTCTTTCCACCCAAATTCCATTTTCGCAATCAAACAGATCCTAAATTGATTTGATTGGTTAAACATTTGGAATAATTAAAAAATAACTTTTTTTAATTGTTTATTTTAATTCCACTCTAGGTGATTTTAGGGTCGAACAAGTAACTTTAATTATTTCTGGATTTTAATTTGTTCTCTTTCATTCACGTTAGAAATTTTCACAATTCACATAGTTATTGCATTTGTGACTTTTGATAGTTTGTTCAACAGAAAATGGGCAGGTTTAAAGAATTTTAGGCTTTTTTTGATTCACTGCTGGATGTGACGAGCTAAAAGCTCAGAGGAGGAATGCATTGATTTCCCAGGGATTTGAATTAAATAGCAAATTTTGGACTACAAACATTTTCCCAGCTAGAGACGGAAGACAAAACTCGCAGCAAACATCCTGTAAACTCCTCTATTTGGCTATTTAGGTAGTCCCCCATTGCATTACCTTTCTACCCATTGCTTTATAATGACCACACCACCCTCCGCTAATGGGCTAAGGCAGTGACTTTCTTGGAGGAGGCTATGTCCTCAAATTTTAGTATCTTGAAATTGATTTATAGAGCAAAAGGAGGTAGGGGATTTGAGTTGTCCCTGTGGCTCATTACCAATTCCGTCCTTAGTAACCACCAGCCACCACTAACCAAGCACTTAGGTTTCACAAGAAAAAAACCAATTCAATGGATATCAGCAATTAAGATCCTGCTTTGATTCGATAGTGTTTTTAACACATTGATGATGACTGATGCGGGATATAGGGGGGGGGGGGGGTGGTGAGGAGGTCGTGGAGATTGAGAATGACCTGTTAATGGTCAAGGTTGGTAGACGTTAGCACAAGTTGATGGAGTTTGGGGGTGGATGGAGCTGAACTTGAAACAGGGAGCGGTGAAAGTGAGCCTAGTTACAGGAAAACCAAACCTGGGTATTTATTTCATCTTATAAAGTTCATTTTTTCATATGAAAGTTCAGTTTTATTTTTCATTTTTCTTTAGTGCCATTTGTTTTTACTTCAAGGTTACATACTTCTATTCCTGAATCTGAAGTATATATTAGGATTAAGTGGGATAAACTAAGGCACATGGTTTTATTTCGAGAATTTTATGTAGCGTGCAGGGTAATTTTAGCCTCTAAGATATATTTTCCCCCTTCTAGTCTACTTGTATATTGGTGCCCATTTTCAATATAGCTCTTTGCTTTCCTACTTTAATATCTTTGTTCAACAGCCATTGTTCAGTCTTCCTCTTCAATTTAATTACATTGAGACCTTTATTTACTTGATAAATGGACAATAATGCTTGGTTTTCATAGTTCTTGAAAAAATGTCATCTTGCTTTAACCCCCTGCTTCATCTAATATTTTAATAGAATACAGTTTATTTGGTGAAATTGTACATGCCTATTTGACTGTATCGTTAGAATTTTAATTCATTTTAAGGCTTCTAAATATTGTCTAATCTTTTCCTTATTTTTTTCTTCACTCAATTTTTGTTGAGCTATCAGCTGATTTAGTTTAGGCAGCCGTCTCTCACTGCTAAGTAATTGTTGTCACAAAGTAAGTTTTCATTTGATGCTTCTCTTGCTTACAAAATATATGAATTGAGTCCTAACTATTTTTCCAGCCATTTATGTCTATTTTAAGTTGTCGAACAAAATCTTGTGCTCAAAATAGAAATATAAAGTTGGATTAGAAGTAATTTAATCTTTGTTTCTTAAATTCCTAGAAGTAGCCTTGGAATCGATAACTAGGACCGTAATATCTAATAACGGCATGATATTTCCATTCTACATTTTAAATGTCTTTTCTAGATCCCTTAATAACTCTTCAAGGTGGTGAAATGACTAGTGGTTAAAATAGTGTAAAATGCTGAGACTTCTCCCTTATTATATATATTTTGTTATAGAATGTTAAAAAGACCTCCTTCTTATGTAGGTTTATTGAGAAACTACAAGAAGACATTCTCGGTAAAGGGGTCAAGAAAAAATTAGAGGTGCTATGTATTATCTATTACCTATTCCACCTTCACAAGCACCAGGGTGATTTCATTGCAACAAGCTACATAACTCCGAAGCAAGCTTCACTTGCTTATGATCAAACCAAAGCCTCGTATTATTTTAATGTATTTTTCTTGAATCACT